ACGACGACGCGAATAACGTGTATGTGCGCGACATAAATAATAACATTGACGGCGTAAACAAGTCGCGCGCGCACGTGTACCAAGTGGGTGACGACAGTTACCTCGGAGTCTAAGGCAAAATTGTTTTTGCGACGGTGACTTGAGCGGAGCGTAGGTCGGCCGATCGATAATGCAAAGTTCCACGAGTTTTCTTTTGCAAATTGGTGCGCGCGCAAGCGCTCGCGCCGTTTTCAAGTAGCGCATTCGCGAGAGAAGTACCGCGTTTGAAGAATTCCAGCGTTTGTCCGCGTTATATAATGCATCGTTGGGTCTCGGCCTTAACGCGCCAACTTAATGGGCCTGACCGACCTCCATGGTGCATGAATATATTGGGTATTAAACTTAATTTTAAAGGATTTTTCGGTGAAAATGAACGTTTATTTCGAAACAAAATGATAAATACATGTTATTCAAAGTATTGTCCATCGTTAGCTACAACTTTTTCCTATCTTTCTGGTAAAAAGCGGATTCCTCGGCGGAAGAACGACTCGTCTTTTTGTGGTTATCCATGAATCGAGCCATTTTTTTATATCTTCTAAAGAACTGAAGTGCTGGGTAGAAAGATGATTCTGCATGGATTGAAACAAGTGGAAATCAGAAGGAGCAATGTCTGGTGAATAGGGTGGGTGGAGTAGAACATCCCATCCGAGTAGCTCTAGCCTTTCCCTCACCGGTTTAGCGACATGTGGCCGAGCGTTGTCATGTTGGAAAATCACTTCGTCGTGTCTTTTGGCGTTTTCTTTCAATTCTCGGTTCAGCTGTACTAGTTATTGTCCCCAGTAATGGTTTCGACAGGTTTTAGCAGCTCATAATAGACCACACCCTTCTGATCCCACCAAATACAGAGCATTACCTTCGAACGATGGGAACAAAGTGGAAAATCTCCACTTTGGAATCATCTAAATCAGTACTCACAAGTTGAGATCGATAATCTCCATAAGCTTCGGACAGCAAACGAAGACTTTCAGCTGCCGATTTTTTCAAATGGAAACAAAAAAGAAACGCTTCCCGCAAATTGCGTCTCGTTGGCACAAAACTTGACATATTGAATGCGTTAAAAAAATATGTTATTTACACTTCGACCAAATGAAACATACTGATTCTTAAAGCCTAATGACAGGGCTTTCACATGAAGTTGACTTTAGTACGGGCCGATGCCATTAGGTGCTCATTGCGCCATCTCTTGTAAATTCTTTAAAATTAAGTTTAACACCCAATATGTACGTTGCGTACTTGGGTGCGTGTGTCCGCGAGATATTCATCTCGCAGCGAGCCGAGAGAGAGGAGCAGTCGATTTTCTATCGTTCGTTCACCCTGCACACATTCTTTCGTGACGACGGCAATTTTGCCTCGCCGACGTCTCGACGCTCGTCGAACTTACGTAAGAGTCAGGTCCGTTTTACAGCACAATATCGCTGGTAAATGCCTGGAGTCTTGTGTCTTCGTGCGTGGACCCACTCTCGGTTATGCGCGAGTTACCGTGTAATAATCACTGCTCGAAATCTACAAGCGAGAAACCGCTTCTCTGGTTGCTTGCGTCGCCTGGCGAATGCTCGAGTTATTGAATATTTGTTTTGGTATTTATTACGTGTACAAATGAATAATCCAAATTTTTCAGTTAAATTCAAGATTTATTTTCAAAGAAAGCAAAACAAATTTGTCAATCAGAGTATCGTTTTCTATAACTTTAAGCCATCTTTCAGGTAGCTGATGAATTCCATGTCGGGAAAGTGTTGTGTTTTTGGACACGATAAAGTCGTCAAACCATTTTCGAATCTCATTCACTGATTTGAAGTGCGTATCGAAAGTGCAAGGCATGTTGCATCGACCGGGACAAGTGGTAATCGGTAGGAGCGATGTTTGGTGAATATGCCGGGCAAAACGTCCCAGTCAAGACTGATTATGATGTCTTTTGTCGCAGAAGCAATGGATGGCCTAGCGTTATCAGAGTGTCCACTTCTCATCGCTCGCGACAATTTTCCACAAGAAAGACTTTCTACGCTGCTTATTGAGAAGAGAAATGCCACTCGTTGATTTTTCTTGGCTTCAGTAAGCATGCGGAATCCATTTTCCTTCTTTCTGAATCTCCCCCATCTCGTGTAGGCATTTGGAAATAGTTTGTTGCGTTACTCCTAACTGCTCTGCAAGCTCTGTTTGCGTTTGTGCTAAATTCTCAGCAGGCTCAGCAGTTGTTTCAAATCATTGTTGCCGCACTTCCGAGGACGTCTCCAGGACGTTCCTTGTCACTCAGACTGAAATCGCCGCTTTTAAACCGTCTAAACCAAAATCCACACATACACACACCGTACAATACAACAAGGTTCCTTTCGCCGAGAAAGGAACAAATCGATCCGCATGCTGTTGCAACATTTTCTCCTTGTTGGAATTCGTAAAGAGTGCAGTGTCGAATATGCATCTTATCTGTTGCCATTTTTCACTGTACTGAACTGAATAATTTTTGAGGTTATGTTGAGCTTTCTGTTATACTAAATATAATTTTTAATAGCTATATGTCAACGCTACATAACCGTGAAGGAGCGGGAAAATCTGATTGTTTGAAACTTAATTTCTTAGCCGCTTAAAAAAGTTTGGATTATTCATTTGTGCATCCTAACAATTTAACCTTTAGCGCGAGTACGCGTTGATAGAAAATATATATATATATAATTTCAGGCGACACAATGTAATTACGATAAGCGTGTTCTTATATTCGTGCACATATAATTATTCGATGGAACGATACGCCCGATGCGAATAGCTGCGAGCACTGCGATAACAATCAGCCGAGGGAACATAAAGCGTGCAATTAAACCAGACAACCAGTTATAAGTTGAACCGCATTCGGAACGAAATGCCGGCCGTGACCCGTTAAATTGATCCCGCGATTCATACCGCACGGCGCGCGACCTGAAGAATACGCCCGGTGTTTTAATTTTGAACGCCACGCTGGCGCACGAACTTCCAGGTGGAAATAATTGGCGCACTATCGAATCAACGACGATGTCGTTACCTTCCGGCGCACCTGACGCGACCTCACTCCCGCCCTCCCCCCCTCCTCGGGACCCGTCGCCGAGGCGCCCGGGGGCGATGTGAAGGTCGGGGGTGAGCTGAGTTTAATTTAGCCGTCACGCCGCGCCAACGGGATCGATACATCGTAACCGCATCAGCGGAGTTACGCCTCGTGAGTGCCACCTTAACTTTGCCGGCGAGGCGTCGAAAGGAAAGGAAACCCCTAAACCAGATTCCGCTTCCGGAACGACGCCTGACTTGCCGCGACGTCGCCGGCAGCATGGCGGAAGCCGGCTCGAGGAAATGAGGGATGGACGATCCCGCGGATGTTTCTCCGCGTTTTCACGGAGAAAACATTGATCTCGCCGGTCCGGGCTCGATTCGCGACCGACGAGATTTTGGTATCTCCGTGTTGGATCTCCCCGCGAACGATGAATCTTCCGGCTCGGGTTTGAACGTCCTCGTTCAAGGCGAGCGAAGGTCGCTGGCCGTGCTATGCCGGTTTAAAAAAGACTTTCCCTTCTTCGGTTCTTAGTTTTACCGCTTCTCGGAAATCGACATGCATCGCCGGTAAATTCTTTGCCGTCGAATTAGCGGATCCTTGATTGCCAAAAGCTGCATCCGAATCCTCGATTCTCCGAATTCGCGCACCGCCAGTTTCTGCATTCCGCAAGTTTCGCGCACGTGCAATGCCTAAAGTTTGATAGCCAATTTATGCTATCTCTATCAGGTGTCTGCCGCTAAACAATTTCTGCACATACTAGCGCAACAAAATCCATTATAAGTCCCCTTCTGTCGGCGAGCGATGAGCGGCGTGCGTTACGAAAAAGGCGGGTTAGCGGGATGTGTCATAATTAATCTTCCGGAACGTCCCTGTTAATTTATGCTGTTATCGCTGTCTATCGGCGAACGATACCTCGCGCTCGCTGACGCTACAGAGGGTATTCTTATCTCGAGAGATCACAATGCGCATGCGTGCATGTGTGCGTTAAGACAACAACAAAGCACCTCTATTGTAAAAGCATTTACTAAGTAATTTCTATCATAAAGCATCCCTGTCGCGAAAGCACGCACTAAAGCGTTTCCAGTAAGCGTTTCCATAAAGCATTTGTTATCTGTTCTACCCATTGTACTTAGGAATTTATCCACTTAGCATCTCCAACATTAATTATTTCCTGGCAAAACAATTGGCGCACTTTGCCGCTGCTGCAGAGGGAATCCCCGGTTTGCAACAACAATGGTTGTGAACAATGCCTCGCGCTGTTTCTGCAACATTGCAAAAATCAGAATTGTACTTTGACGCTCGCGCCCTATATCAGCTCTCGTGTTGTGCTGCTCGATCTTTTCGTTATTTCCATATACAAGGTGTCTTAAAAATACCGGAACCCCCGGATAATTTTACAGGATTAAGTTTTCATGAAAAACTTCAAATACAAAAGTGTAGAAAATCGAGTAACGGACTTGATGGTGACCTTGAATTTGACCTTGGTCATGACCTTCAAGATCATTTGGAGGTCAACTTGCGTTTTTTAAATGGGAACCCTTATTTTTTATTACACTTTTTTTTTCTACCAATTAATTTGGACAACTTTTGTCGAAAATATTTTTTTATTTGCCCAATATTTTTTGAGATATTTGAGGAAAACTTGATAACATTTTCAATATTTAACTTACGATATCTCGCGAATTACTTTGTCGGAAGAAAAAGTGGTACTAGACTTTCTTGCTTTATTTAGGCTCGGAAATATATTGTTGCAATAGCGCCCTGACTTTTGTTAACTTACTGACTTTTGGAAATTTCAAAATCATCAAATTCCAGGGGTTTCAGTATTCCTTAAGACATCCTGTATCTAAGTTCATATTGAAGTTTAGTTTAGTGCGTGATTAATCATAAGGAGATGTTCCACCGCGAGAGAAGCGACTTGACACGAGGTGTTTGTTCGTTTTTGCAGAACATTTTGGACAAGTTCAACCCTGGCGCCAGGCAGCTGATCAACGCGGGTAAAGCGTACCTGAAGGCTCTTCACGGTGAGTGAATTAAATCGAGCGTGGCGGCACGGCGCGCAAGTCAATGAGAGAAATAGAAACGGGCGGCCGGCGGTGGTTTGAGGGTGGAAAGAAAGTCTGCGCGCAAGAAAGAAGTTCACGTTGGTCTCTTGGGTCCTGTTGCCGGATCGAATTGTCGGGTCGTCAGTGTCGCTGGCCTTCACCTTCCGCCCTTCTCTTCATTCTCTCCCCTTTTATTATTTCTCCGCACGCTGATTAATTTGCCTCGCACGAAAGTGTCGGCGTGTATTATTAGCATATTTAGTTTCATTTATTATTATTATTATTTCATCACTTTAACAATACCAAGCATTCACGATCAGCGATATTAAATATCACGAATATTTGCGATTGATGTCGAAATTAAATTAACGATATATATTACGCATCTTATATTATTAATTTAATTTCATGTGGAAATAAAAGCCAGCGACCCGCTGGTCAATTTGCCCTTTTTTACAACGAACGTACCTCAGTTACGCGAATTTGCAGCGATGGTACTTTTTGTTTACGTCACTTGCCGATATTCGATATTATTAAACGCATTTCAATGGTTATGTATCTCGCGGAGATTAAAGCTCCGTCGAGACGTAAAGCTCCCAAATTGGTTCACCGATCGTTTTGCCTGTGCACTTTGCGACGCGTGTTTAAGGACACTCTGTATATTCCTGCTGCTTTCGTATATCTATATATGTGTACACATTCCTCTTTCCTCCTCTTTCGCACCTTCGTACTTTCGTGGCCGGGTCAGATCAATCACCTTTGGGGATTAACCCGCTGACCCTGAAACGGACGCTCGCGTGCCGCCGCCATGTGGGTCGTGTGCTACTCGCGTGGGATATCGCCCCCGGTATTCTTAGGGAGAGATGGGAATGAGAATAAAGACGGGGCGATGGAAATAGTGACCCCTCCGATTACCGTCCTTACGACGAGTAATCCTGTACGACCGTGTGCGAATGATAATGCATAAAAGGAGAGAAACGCTGATGCATAACGATACCCGCTGGTTAACGACAATCTAATGTCGCTCTGATGACAGTGCTCATGACAGCCGCCATAAATCGGTAATCGTCAGCGATAATACGAGGGTCATTCAAATATAAACCGGATTTTTTACCTGCGGACTCAGAAATAGCCGCAAGTAGGCCGAGGCGCTCCAGGCAGTTAGGTAGAGATGTGTGGAGGGGAGCGACCCCCCGCAATATTCCTCAGTTGCTGTTCCCTCCTCAGTAGCATCATGACTGAACAAGAGGTACCTACGACTGTTGCGCAACGCGTTATTATTATGCAATTTCTCGCTAACGAAGGTGTCAAACCAACTGAAATTTTGACCAGACTCCAAGCACAGTTTGGAGATGGTACCCTGTCAAGAACCCAAGTGTTTGATTGGGCTAAAAAATTTCGCAGTGATCGTAATGCTGTGGAAAACGAAAGTCACGAACGTCGTCCGCGATCGACCGTGTCACTAATGAGAACATTCGGGCCGTTCGCGAACTTGTGGAAGATGACCGGCGCTTAACTGTTGTCGAAATTTCATTTTCGAGGTGGGCATAAGAACTGCTTATCGCAACAAACGACGCCGGCAACCCATCGCCGTTCGGCGACGTTCGGTTTCTCCATGACAACGCGCGGCCTCATACAGCAGCCTTAACCCGCGATAAACTCGAAGAAATGTACTGGACACCTCTTGAACACTCTTCTTACAGTCCCGATTTATCCCCAACATGTGACTTTCACATGTTTGGACCCCTGAAGGAGGCTTTAGGAGGGGAAAGATTTAACGACGACGCAGCGGTTGAGCAGTACGTGCGCAATTGGCTGTTGGAGCGCCCTTCTTCTTGTTTTGATGAAGGGATCAAGAAGTTACCTATCCGGTGGAGAAAATGCATTTTCGTTGAAGGGAACTATGTAGAAAAATAATATATCGCTTTTGTAATTCCATCTGTTACGAATAAATCTGTAGAAAAAAATCCGGTTTATATTTGAATGGCCCTCGTAATATTCTCGAGTAAAAACCGCCGCGATCGACGATACTGCCGCGGCGCGGCGGAGGGTGAATCGCGGTTCAACTATATATCACGCGCGATCTTGGCGAGAGTTTGTCGGACGGAGCCGGCGGTTCTCGTTGATGGCTAGAAATTTGTTTAAGAAGAGCCGGGGAAAATAGTACTCGGCGGCGGAAAGTAGTTTGCGCAGCGGTGCAGTCGACTTTACATTAAAAGTGACTTAAAAGTTTCGCGCGGAGCCGCCGGCCTTTGATGTAACAGCATTACTTGAGCGAGAGAGAGAGAGAGAGAGAGAGAGAGAGAGAGAGAGAGAGAGAGAGAGAAGGAAGAAAGGAGAAGAGAGAGAGAGAGAGAGAGAGAGAGAGAGAGAGAGTGATATTCTGGTAAAGAGGGAGACACGCTATTGCGGATGAAAATCGACTCACATTCTATGGCCCCTCCGCGAAACTCCGGGACGTTTAATTAATTTTTGTTCTGCCGGCTTTCCTTGGGCGAGTTCGCGGGCGATTCGCGCTCCTCTCTGCACGATTTTATCATTCGCGGTCGTTTTACCATGATTTGCACGCTGTAAATCACACGTTCGCGCGCTGCAACTATCGTACGTACGACGCCATATTATTTCTGCGAAAGTTCACGAGGAAAAGTTCGCCGCGAGTTTCTTGCCGCCGATCGTCGGTAAATTACGCTATCGCTACATCCGGCAGGTTTGAGGGCACGCTTTGTAGATAACATAGCCGAACAGCCGAACTTCCGGAGAAAACGAACGAATGAACGACCGTCCTCCCGTGTAAGGCTTGAACTGTTGGGCGCGATAAGCTTGCGGGGTTTTGCTCTTAAAGAGAGAGAGCGAGAGGGCCGATTGTCGCAGCGCGACAATCGTCGCGACGTCGACAACTTTGCCCGTCGGGTTCGTATTATGGAAAAGTTCTCGGGCAAACAGAATCGCGATAATTTCCTCTGCGGTATGGGCGTCGGAAACTTTTTTATCTCGACACGATTAGGGTCGCGAAACGGAGCCGGGGGAACATTAAAAAAAAAAGAGGCGCGGCCGGAGGGGCAAAGAGTGGAGCGGGGTGGATGGGCATCGCACAAAGGTCCGTGCAACTTCCTTAACAAGTTCCGCGCCGGGAAAGAGGACTAACTCGATTAGGAATTAATTTTTGACGAGCCGCGGAAGAGACGAGACAAAAGGGAGATTTCTTCGAATGGCGCGGCGGAAGTCGGGCGGGAGGAAGGGGCCGAGGGTGCAGGGGATAGAAGTAGCGATGAAAGGAGGGTTAGGAATTAAAGCGAAACCGGAGCCGTTCGGCTCCGTTTTCTTCAGAGGAGACGAATTGCATCCGGTTTTTCCCCGACGACGGCAGATTTTTAACCCACCGTCGCATTATTCGATTTTCGCCCGATGTAAAAGTTGTATACGCGATGTTCCCCGGTTCATCGCGCCGCTTTTCATCCGCGGATCCCCCGACGGACAGGAACTCTTTCAGCGAGGATTTAATTGGAGTCTGTTATTTGTCGCCGTTTTTAAAAGTTCGGCGTTCTCTTTTTGCCTTAAAGGACTCCACGAGTCACCAATTAAATCCTGCGCTTTAGAAACGCGCTGGCACAAATACGTCTTTGTACTCAAAGGGTGTCGCGTAATGATCTCTCATTAACATTAATTATTGCAATACTTAATTAATACTCATTCTCGTCATAATCATGAATAAGAGAATTGATCCTGCAGAATACTCGACGATTCGTCAAACGTTCTCCGGCTTCTCGTTCAATCGATTTCGGACAGAGATAACGTTGAATCTCGCATTAATTCGTATCCTATTTTTAAATAACCATTAATTTTTCGCTCTTCAAGATCTCTTTTTTCATGGTTCCTCCGATAACTTTTTCAAACAATTCGGAACCGGTGGATAAATTTCCGAATAAGTTCTCGATCTCTTTAATTTTCCCAATCAATCTCCGGCGGCGTCTATCAAAACGCGATTCGCCCCAGCTTCAAACGGCGAATGCAGCCCGACCTCCTCGTCCTCCCCCACTCCGAGTAGTCTTTGTTCTCCGCGAAATTAATTTGTTCCACTGGAAGGAACTCGTCGATCGTCGAACTTATACCCACCCCTCTTTCAGTCTCTCTCTCTCCCCCGGCGAGCCATATTCCCGCGTCCTATCGCGAACCGACTCCGCGACAATTTATAACGAGTCGTCGAGCCACTTTGAGGACTCCGCTGGATCCTGCAGGAGTCTCGTCCTTTCTCCGACTCTCTCTGCTATCCTGTCGCTTCCTAAGGATGCCACTTAAATACCAAGAGTTTCGTGTTTCCAGCCGATTGAATGATGTACGCGACGCGGCCCCTTGGAAAATTATCGCCCTCGCGTAATATATACATTATAAAGTGCCAGGAACTCAATGAATTTTCAAGAAGGAGATAAGAGGAAATTAATAGAGTTAACAAGAGTTAATGACGTTATTAAGAGGAAAGATAATTCGAATTATGCTCTTTTTCTTTACCCTCTCCCTCTCGCTTTTTTCTACATTTACGCGCGACTTCGCGCAAGTTCGGTGTTCGTTTCGAGCCGATTCTCTCTCGCTGGGGGTTGTGACGGAAATCTGGAGGACAACGGTGGGAAATTACTGGAAGCGCGACGGTCGGTCACGAGGGTCAGCAACGAATGTGATTTGAAAAGTTTTCTCGTTAAATTGCGCAAAAATGCGCGAGACGCCGAACGTGGACAGCAGGGTGGCAGGGGGTGGCAGTGGCGGCGGCGGCGGCGGCGGCGGCGGCGGCGGCGGGGGGATGAGAGAGGGGCACGAGAAAGGATGCGCGAGAAGGGGTGAATGTCCGCGCGGTACAGACAATGACGAGCGGGTACCGACTGATTTTAATTATGGAATCTGTGCAGGTGAAACGCTCAATTTTCCCGCCGGCACATGTCCACCCCCTCGTCGCTCTTCCCCGCTACCGTGCGCTTTAGCCTTCCCCC